AAGATAGATGAGACGTTAAAGAAGAAAAACATTAGACTTGTAGAGACGGAAAGGACAGAGGGAAGGGAGAAAGCCAGAAAGAGAGGTAAGAGACTGAGACAAGATACTCATAGAAAAGAGAGCGAGAGGAGGGATAGAGACGTTCAGACAGACAGCTGTAGGCCACTGACCTGTCAGTGTGGTTGACACACATTAACCTTCTTCTCCCTCATCACCTAAAGAGGCACACCCCTCTCATTCTGTCTCTTCTCTTCTCTTCTCTTCTCTGGCCGTGCTGCAGCGGTACCTCATTTCTTCACTTTGCCTAATTAGCTGCCCTTCTCTCTTTCCCCACAAGTCAACACAAATATACTGATGTTGAATTTGGAATCTGTTGCCAGTTTATTAGATACACAGAGAAATCCGATGCAATCCAATACAAGAAGTCTGCAATAAATCCTACGTTTATAAAGCTCATAATGTTAGTGTCAGAGAGGTGTTGATTCAACTCTATCATTTCGTCGGTCGAGCATCGAAAGGTGTATCTAATATTTTGTCCACTGTCTCAACAAAAAACTGAACTTTATAAGCTTCATAAAGTTAGATTTTATTGCAGAGCTGTTGAATTGGATTGCGGTGGATTTAGCAAGGTGTATATACCTATTAAACTATCACCTGGGTGTATTGTTAAAATATCCATCTGTATTATGGAGTACAGCAAATTCCCTGTGAGGAATACATTGACTTGCTTGCCAGGTTAGGGTTGACAATGCAAATAAAGGTGTTTATCTGATTCACATAAACAGCAGGAGGCCACAATAACTCATTCAAAAAAAATCATTGTTGCAGTGTGAATGATGCTAAATGTGCCGCAAGTAACTGATTTCAGCTTTAACCCTTAAATAGAAAGAATTGTGTCTCACTGAACAATATTGACTTCACTTTTTGGGTTCGAACACTGAAACTTCAAAGACACTGCAATACCAATACTAGATGATATAGGGTACTAAACCTGTATTTGTACCAAACAGTACAAAGACTACAAGGAGGATATTTCTGGGCTCATTCCACATCAGTGTAAACGAGGCAGTTCAGGGACAAGTTATTACTGTTAGTGGTTCTTTCTCAATGAAGAAACTGCCATGCATTGAAAAATGTCGTTTTAAAGGATTAATTTGAAGTATGATCACATAACATGTGACCACTAATGGGAAATGTACTAGCCCACTGGGCTTTGGTTAGTCTTTTAGTGCATTGTTCAATAACCAAATTTTGAGTAGGGTCTGCACCATCCCATAAAAACACAAAGTGGTCCCTAACTTCCTCCCGCAAACACTCTGACAAGGCTGTTCTTTTCTCTGAACTATTTCTGTTCCCCTGTTGAAACATCTGTGTCCTAGACAGCATACAGCTCCCCAGCTGAATACAGAAACAGTGAACAAAACCTGCTGCATTTCATGTCGAGCTGGATCCCAGGAGATTCCAAACCTTCCCATCACTTTACACTTCTAACCAAATGTAAAAACTATTATTACAAAAGGCTCTGACTCAACAAATGCATCTTCATCTCCCAGCATGCGTGTCAGTATCTGCGTGGGGGAGAAAGTCTGGGGGAATGTGTGTGTTTTTTTAATGTGTGTAAATGGATGTACCTTTAGACACAAGATCTGATGACAAGTGCGTGTTTGGCTTTCCTGTGCTTTGTAAAGAAATAAAGGAAGGCAAGAGAAAAAGCGCCTAGACAGGGATAAGATGAGGTAGAGAAAAAGGACCAAGAGAGATATCCAGACCAATCCTTCGGGACCTGAGTGGAAAAAATAGAGCAGGGTCACATGTCTATTGAAGGAAGAGAGAAGAAAGAGGTGTAGAGGGAGAGTGAAAGAGGTCAAAGAAAGAGAGCACAGGTGATGGTTTTAAGCTGCTTGTGTCACAGGCAGATATAGGCTGCTATGCCGCCTGGCTGTCATCTGCATCGCACACAATATCCCCTTTATTCGCAATATCACCTCTCTCTATTTCGCTTCATCTGCCTCCCTGGTGTAGCGACTCCCAGCGTGATGCACTTTTTCTCTCCCCATCACACAGCTGCCACAGATACTGTATATATCATTCTCTCTCATTCTTGCTCCCACTCGCTGGAAAAAACCTATATCTCACTTACACATGCAGTTTTTTTTTTCTTTCTCATACATATACTACTGCATTCCTCACCAACTCGCGCAGTTTTTCCTTCTTCACACATTTGGTCTCTCCGTTTCTTTGCATACTTTTGTCATGCCTTTTACCCCAGGATCTCCTTATATAACAATACTCTCCGCCGTGTTATTGTGTGTGTATATATATATTTGTTTTATTTACCCCTTTCCAAGGCCTCGATCACATAATTAGGGCCTGAGCAGCGAAGGTCTATTGAAACTGCTCCAATAATTATTATTCTCAAACACAATTAATTGCATTTTGTGGCCGCAACATGCTCTAATCCTCATTAAAAACACTGCGCACATTTCAGTTGTGGCGAAAATCTATGTATTTAAATACAAAGACCATCCCCAGTTTCACTGATATGTATGAAAATCGGTACAGGAACAGGAAGTAAGTCTTATATGGCATTCATCATATGATTTCTTTAAAATATGCACGATGTGGTGTATAGGTGATGTGACGTGACAGCAGCCCACCCTAACGCACATGGACTTTGAGGGGCCCGTTCATCGCTGCTTGCAGCTTTAATCTTACCATTAAAATCCTTCTAAATTTGAACCTAATCTTAATGTTCCTGAACTCTAATCCTATGAATAACTCGTAAATGCTCCCTCTCCAAAGCTGAAGCAGACAAAATGTCCGTTATTTGTAAGATTTTTACTCATCTTTTAATCCTTGAATGGGAAGGATAAAAGCAGTAAAACACAGATGCACACTTCATGCTCACTTTCACTCTCCCCTATTCTGTCTCTCACAAAGGTCCAGACACCCACATACACAAACAGACACACACATGCAAACTGGACGCACTAAACCATGAAGAGACAGGGTTCGGTTCATTGCTCACCTTGGCTGGTTTGATCAATGGCAGTTTGCCTCCTGCAAATCCCTCCCACAAACAGAGCTGAATAAACAGGCAGTGAGCGTTTACACAGACCCCGATAATCTGCTAATCCATATAACCTGCTTTCTAACCAACACACACATACACAGTCACACACACTCACATGAATATGGAGTGAATATGTACGCCGATAATGTGTACATATCCAGGAACACAAGCAGACAAATGTGCATGAAAGCCGGAAACGCACACTTCTACACACAAACATTTGCATGTGCACATACATACACACCCAGGCACGCACACACCGTATCAGTGACTTTTGCCCATTATCCTCTCTGACCTCCTCAACAGGACATGGTTGATAGTCTAGTCGATGTTGATAACAGACAGAGGGGTTAATAGGGATTAATGGACTGTACACACACACACACACACACACACACACACACACGAGAGCGAGAAAAACATTTTGGTGTTGATGAGTTTACTGGCTTTCATGTATTTCTGAAGTGTGTGTGTGTATGTTTGTGCATTTGATTAGTCGAGTGAAAGTATCATGTAGCTGTCAGCCGTGCAGCATTCCCACAGCTTGATTGGATAATTGAAGCGTGAAAAAGCTATATAGAGTTTGTCAAAACTGTTAATGGCCTGAGTTTAGTATCATGGACGCCATGAGTATGGCGGTTAGTGTCATTAACATCCACTCAATGGAGCAGAGAGAGATTTTATCAGGTTGAAAGACATAACTGCATTTATGATTTTGATCAGTTAAGACCCTTCCTGTCCATGTCACTCATGCATCATCTCTTTATATTTTTTATCACTTAAATTGCTTTAAAAGACCATATTTTGGAAAGTGTTTCTATGCTTGTGAAAAACATTTATTCAGAGATTCAGTGTATGGCTGTTCTTGGTTGAACATTGATTAAATTCCCTATTAGGTGGTCCATTATATTTTACTATTTGATATTTTTGTCAGGGAACCCACATTTTCACCAGAACTTTGCATTAGTAACAAACTTAAAACATGAAAGCCTTTTTGGCATGTATACCATTATACACCGATCAGCCATAACATTATGACTACCTGGGAAACCCTGGTGCTAGCAGTCACAGTTTGAGCTATAGTAGCTCGTCTGTTGGACCACATGGGCCAGCAGGAAAAGATTATAGTTTGACTTAAAATAGCTACTTGATTGATGTCAACATCGTGATTTGGGTTTAAATGGCAACTCTGAAGATTAAGATTAATTTAAGATAAACACTTAAGATTAGGGGACTTTCATTGTAATGGTTGCATTAATACACATGCTTGAAGTTAGGGAACAACCATGGTCATAAATAAAAGAAACCAACATTGACTCAGTAGGAAACAGGAACAGTCGACTTCTCTGTCAAGGTTGAACTATCCCACCACAACCTCCTCCTTATGCAGGTGTTGTAGCTCTGTAACAACATCACAAAAAACTTCCTTCTTTGCTCCCAATGGACAATAGTCATAACTCCTATGGCTGCTGGAAGGCTTTGTTACTTGGACATAAACATTTGATGTTTTCGTGCATTTGCTAAAAAGACTGATGCTGTTGTTTTTCTTGGGCAGACAGTCAGGTTTAATTTCTCACCTTGCTATAGTGATGTACGCGTGTACTCCTAGATGTGTCAGTACACTGTGACATCCTTGTTAGGTGTGGTTACAGCTGCAAAATTGAAACAGACTTTTAGACTTGTTAGGATAGGAGAGCAGAATGTTGCTTTTATTGGTGTAATTATGAGTTGTGTGCATCAAACATCAACGATTTTTGCTTATATCTTTTTTGGAAATCAAATGTCAGTCTTTCACAGCCTTTTTCTCTGTTGCCATCTTAGCCTTGTTTCATTAAACTTTGACTGATTCTGTCCTCCAGTATACCACACTTTCACCGACAGCATTTTTGTAAATTAAATATTTTCTCTCCTCCCCCGCTCTCTCCAGGTACGGTGGACAAAGACAGCAGGCAGTGCATCTGACAAGTTCCAGGAAACATCCATCTACAATGAGACGCTGCGCATCGAGGGCATCCAGAGGGTGCAGGGGGGTCGCTACTACTGCAAGGCCGACAACGGGGTGGGGGTGGCTGCCATCAAGTCCATCCGCGTAGATGTGCAGTGTAAGTGGGCAGGGAGAAAGAGGTCCACTTCTAGACCACAGCTGACTATCACTACAGCCATTCCCACTGTTAGAGAAGACCAAGATGGGTAGAGATGGAAAGATTGGAGGAGGAAAGATGAAAGACAGATTGGATGGATGATGAGATTTCAAGTGGGAATGGCTTCCAGGAGTATCTAATGACTTTTGGTGGAAAGGATGAAAAACATGCTAGGAGGATTAGGGGGGAGATCAAATAGAAGTGCAGTACAAGAGAGTGCAACATATAAAAAACTCTCAATTTCAAAGTTCCTTTGCCTATAGTGTACCATTGGTTTACTGTATGGATAATGCAGGTGTGTGTACTTTACCAATAAGGGTAATTAGAGGAAAAAACCCTGTTTGGTCAGATACTCCTGGGCAAAAGTGAAGTCTGTGGGACATATTGTAAGTTTTATAACAGTTAGTCCAGGTGGTACGGGCTCCCTAACCCACTGTTTCTCAAGTGACCCTCTAATCTAAAAAAAAAAGGACAAAAGCACAAAATGCTGTTGCATTTTAGCTCTGTCAAATCCTTTGATTTTACAGTGCCTGATACATTTAAATTACTACTCGGCTGATAATTAAGAGATCACCTCTCCTTTTTAGACCTTCTTACAAAGCTTTGGAACTGTCCCTATAGTCTGGGGATCTATAAAGGGTCCTTTGTAATTGTTTGTAAAACAGAAAGACATTTGTGAGAAGCAGTGTTGTGTTGTAGGGGCCCCGTGCTGCTGCTTGTTTCACTGCCCCACTGTCCCTGTGAGTCAGGGGCCCGGTCATGGCGACAGGTTGATGCACATCCAACTATACACCCAACACATCAATACTTTTATATAGTTTCCTTTTTCATTCTCAGCACCCTAAACTCCTTGTCCATCCGTTACATTCGTTTATTGCATAGATGGTTCCTCCCTTCATTGATTCAATCATTTTAATGGTGGGTTTATAGACTAATAGAAAAAGGCTGATTTTCCAAGGGTCCTATAACACTAAACATCCATTACCTGCCTTTCATTTGCTAAATTCATCTCTTCTTCTGCTTTGCTTTGTGTGTAGTACAACATCGTCTGCCACCCGTCCTTTAGCATCAAATCTCTTGCACCAAACTATGCAGTCACAAGCATACAGATACAGCATACATACAAATCCCTCTAGGATTTGTCACTTACACACCACCCTGCCTCAGCTTCTTAATGGGGCTCTCCCTCCCTCCCTCCCTCCCTCCTTCTTCCTCATCCCTCTCTGCTGTTAGTGTTATATCTCCCCAGGCACAAGCTTGGCCCCTGCTGGGGAGCTGGTAATTGCAGGGGGCCTGGGTAGTAAACAGGTTGTATTGTGTGTGTAGTTGTGACAGGAGCTCTGTGAAGCTAACCAGCTCTGACGGCCAATGCTTGTTCAATTCCCCATCCCCCATGCCACGTTAGACCCAGTGGCGGTCAGCCACGCTTCCTACACAGGACAACTTTAGTGCCAGAACGATGTAACAATTAGCCCAGGCTACCAGGGAAAAAGAGAGAAAGAGAGATAAAGAGAAAGAGTGTAAGAAGGTAACAAGGGACCAAAGCAGCAAGTACCACAGGTGAGTGTCCCTGAAGATGCAGTTTAAACACTAGGACAAACCACCAAATTGTGTAGTACTTTATAAATGTATAAAGTATTTTGACTATTTTTGTATATGAGCAGCATATATGCAGATGGGTGACAAAAAAAAATGATTCTACAGGTCTCTGAAACTGAAAAATCTCCAATTTGTAATAATTAGGATTAAGATCTGTTGACTGTGAAGAATATAGCATATGATCCACCTTATTGTCATTAATCTATCCAGGTCTATCTTGGTGGCAATTCTAAAAACAAAAAAACATCCATTAATGACTTAAATAATTTGGACTTAGTTTTCATGATTGGCAGGTATCTCTCAGGCCTGAATACTGAATACTTTGCTCTCTCCAGGCTTTGAAGAACTGACAAGATGGCAGCTAGTTGTAAACACAAACTCCAGGCTCCAAATGCCCTGTCAGAAACCAATGGGAGACGCCATGATATGTCCATGTCTTTCTACAGAGATAGTAGAAGAGAAACAGGAATGTACAGGGGGAAAGAAAAGACAATGCCATTTTGCCTTGTTTAATACAACCTAAAGAGGAATCTACCGTTCCGGGAAAAACAGAGCAGCAAGTACAGCAAAAAGCTGAAATAGAAAACAATGGTGATTGTAGTACTGAGGTAGTTATATTTTCGACTCAAAAGAAGGATAAGAAATGAGAGAAGAAGAGGAAGACAGATGAAGGGGGAGACAAACAGAAAAATGAAAACAGCGAGAAGGAGAAATGGAACTTAGGGAGAGAGGGAGAGAGAGATGCACATAATAAGGTAGATGCACTCATATGCTTTTCAATTTGGATGCATCCAACAGACCAGTTATTGGACTAGAGGGCAGAACATGTTGTCACTCGCACAGGGTACAAACACAAGCTTCAGCTCTCTCTTTCTCTGCTTTTCTCAATCACACAATTTCTCTTTTTCCATGTCTCAGCTTTTTTAACTGAAATGACCAACCACTGCACATCTATTCACTCTTTACTCTTCATTTCCCCCTTCGCCTCCCCTCATTCCTCCGTCTTTCATGTTGTCCTCTCATTCTTCATGTTTTCCTTACTTCCTTTCTTCCTCTTTGAACCACAAACACCAGAGCGTGATGAAGTAGTGTGGTTTTTTGTGTGAGTCAGCTGGGATCTCTCCCCTCTCAGCTCTGAGGCTCAACCAAACACAGCGGTGTCTGGCTTTAGGTCATCTGCCCTACGTGCGGCTATAACTTTAACTTTATACAGTTGCATGGATGCAAGCAGGCATGCAAGCAAGCATGAGCACATACAAACACAAATGCCTGCTCTTCACTCATTTATTTATGTAACACACCCACACTGTATTTCGCATACATACGTGCACATGCATACTGTAATACGTACACACTTTCAGGTATGCACGTATACGAATGTGTCAAATATGTTCAAAAGTGAAAAACAGACATCAAAACACTCCCTTAAATTGAGCAGTGATAGTGCAGGAGGTAGTGAATGAAGGATTGAAGCTGAAAAGAAAACAGAGAATATGAGCGGGGAGTTAGACTAAGGGTGCATATTCAATATACTTTGAATAGAAGGCACATACAGAAAAAGGAATTTGTGTATTTCTGTAGCTGACATACTATCTCACTCAGTCATTCCTTCTCTTCCTTTTTTTTCATTTTATCAGAACATTTCTTTCTTTTGTTTTTTTGTTCCACACACTTTTTTCATTCTTTTTGCTGTCAACATTTTATTTCTATACCCTGAATCAAGCATCTGGATCAGTTATTAATTTAGCATGCATTTACCTGTTAACCATACAGCTATTTGAATTAATTTGTACAGAATAGTGGATGCCAGTCAACTTGTTTTCCATATGAATTTACTTCCAGTCGACCAATTATAAAGTCTATGTACGTAATGAGCAAATACAGGTGAAACTACCCCTTCCCGCCGTCAATCTTACCTTGTCCAACTCCACAGAAAACACATACAACAACATTTCCATTAATCTGCAGTCACTTAGACTGGCTTCACTGATGCTTTCTACTTAGCAACACCTCATTCAATCATCACCTGTTTTTGCAATCAACCTTCTTTCCCTGTTAGACCTCCATCACATGGGGGTCCCCTGTATCAACCAGCTGACCAATGACCTGGCACTCTAACCACTGAGGCAGTGGGACAGTGAGCAGGCGGGGTTTAACTTTAAGTAGCCTCTACTGATGGGATGGACTTGGTTCAGAAACCCAACCAATGATACTTAAGTGTAGGTCAGATAAAAAAAATGTGTTCATAAAAATAAATGGTTAGCTCAGCTTAGTTGATATGAAGTCCTCTCTGTGGATTCATTACTTTCTTCAGGATACAACCAGGTAAGTGGAAAAATGTTG